AAACAAATATGTTTTCTCCAAATAAGTCATGGACAATAATTGTAAGTTTATTTGTTTTTTTTAAATTGTCAAAACCAGATCTAGAGATAAATAATTAATGATCTGATTTATCCTTTTACGTTGCTTGTGAAAATTATTCACTTATGAAATATGGACATAACGAACATTAATCGAGCTCAAAACTCCCTTGAAACAAAACAAATCAGAAGCAGTGCAGACCTCAAAAAACAAATAAAATATATACCCTTTTCACATGCATATGAAGTTTATGTCTCTCAGTTGATTCGATATGCAAGAGCATGTTCTATGAACAATTTCCTAAAGGAGGCAAGCTATTGACAAAAGAGTTGATGAAACAAGGATATCAACAGTTTCGCTGGAAGTCATCATATCACAAGTTTTTGTTCGATATAACGACCCTGTCAGCAACTACAGCTAGTCGTTGAGTCAATTGCCTAGTGGCGTTTTTCATACTTGTTAGACAATTATTTACACACTAAATTTTCTACGTTTTTTTTTTATTTCTGCCGATCATGACAAGGAGCAAACGGCGGGTTGACCAGTCAGCAGGGGATGCTCACTCCTCAATGACCCCTGATTCCGTGTTTACTCTGCTCCCGATTTATATTGTTTAAATGGACTTTGATAGCCATATTCCATGAATACAAATAGGTCTTTTGAATACGAACACAATTAGTACCCATAGAAATTCCGACAGCTTGTTAGAGGACCTGATTTCCAAAAACTACATATATATTTTTCAATGAAAACTGAAACATCTTTAGAGTACTTGTGTGTACAATCAGAGCGTTTTTTAACAAAATAATTCCGCAAATGACCAGTAATTGTACTTAAATTTTTATGAAAAGAAAAACAGCTGTATATGATTTCAAAAAGTCTAGACTTTAAATTATCATGAGGGATCGTTGTATAAAGTGTTAGAAAGTTGTAAGTCTTTATATTATTTATTTTATTAAAAAAAATACATTTCTAATTTTCCAAATGTTCCTTGGAAGTTTTAAGTATCCACATTTGATTTACACCACTTCTCGAAAATAATGTTCCACAGTACTCCTGAAGTTTATCCTTCACTGCTGTTCATATTTTAGCGATGAGCTCGAGTTAAGAAAGAGGCATGGTAGAACATTTACTGGTACCCGCAATGTACCTTTCCTTGTAAGGATTTTTATGAAATCGCCATCTTAGATCAAGAAAGGACTTATAATTTAGACCTATGCTCTGCACTAAAGGCTATTGAGTTGTGAGTTTTTTTTTGTTATAGTAACACCTACCGTTAAAAGAAATCTCTTATATATATATTTTTTTTTTTGGCAAACGGAAAAAAATCAAAACAAAGTCAAAACGTGATTTTTATTTCATTCGAACTTTCAGCTCATGTATACACCAAGAATTGTTTAAGCTTGTTCTTTCCATTCATGATTTCCGCCAATAGAACTAAATACGCAGCTATAATGTGAGCGTTTGACTTTGAATCAAATTCGATGTTAATGGGAAAACACAACTTATATCCTAAAAATCTTAAGGTGATTAAACGCACCTATTTTCACCATCTTGTGATCATTGCATCATGTGTAATTTATGTTTTGTTTGTTTGTATGTTGTTAAACGTCCCTCTCGAGAATTTTTCACTCATATGGAGACGCCACCACTTGCCGGTGGAGAGCTGCAAATTTTGCCCTATACTCGGCACTTACGGCCATTGAGCAGTGAGAGATCTTTTTCGTGGCAGCACCTACTGCGACACGGGACCTCGGTTTATACGGTCTCATCCGAAGGACCGGTCTCCACGTCCCACACTGGGATTCGAACCCGCGACGTAAGGGTCAACTCCTTACTCCGCTACTCTAGAGCAGACGCTCTAACCACTGCGCCACGCCGGCTACGTGTAATTTATGACGAAACGAAAAAGAAATGCAGGGTAAAATAGTATGCGATTTTTTTTTGACTGCATGGCCAAGAATTATAAAAACTGGTCATAGGGGTATCTTGGTTACTGTATACTGTAATTGGTGTTCAGAATTACTCAACTGTGAAATTATGACGTCACGTAGGGAAGGTGGTAATTGGCCAAAAATACGTGCCTATTGAAAACGAAAGGTTTATCAACATATCTCGTAATACGACGTGATGCACTTAAGGTATACACATCGATTTTTTGTATTTTCAGACGATTTGAATTTCTTGCAATCATGGTACGGTTGAGGAAAGATCCATTGGGCCTGGCTATTGCTTTGTCTAAGTAACGACAAAGGCAACAACAGGTTGCTGTGCAGTTTGTTGTGAATTCGTCTACCATAAAACATCAGAGAGGGCGTGGAAGGGTTTCCAGCCAACTGTGACGATGGCGTTGAAGCATACCAGCGCAACGTCAAGATCGGTCTATTCATCCTTCCACTTGTATTATCTATCACTTAAACTGCTTTTAATACAGTGGGCCATCATAATCGTTACATTCACCAAAAACTAAAAGAAACCGCGATTTTGGTTTTGAGCTTTTCAACTTTACGTAGATGTTCCTGTCACTAGCGCAAGCGTGCCAAAGAAATTTGCTTTTTTAGTTCACCTTCAGGAGCCAAACGCTCAAGTGAGCTTTTCTGATCGAAATTTGTCCGTTGTATGTCATCGTTGTTGTCATCGTCGTTGTCGTTGTACACCTTTCACACCTTCATCTTCTTCTCTGGAACTACTGGGTCAATTTCAACCAGACTTGGCACAGAGTATCCTTGGATAAAGGGAATTTAAGTTTATTCAAATGAGGGGCCACGCCCACTCCTAAGGGGAGATAATTACAAATTAGTGAAAAATAAATGGTATCCTTTAAAAGTCTTCTCAAGAATCACTGGACCAGAAAAGATGAAACTCATTTGTAGTCAACCTCAGGATGTGTACTCAGCTACGTTAAGGAAGGCCTGATTTCACATTTGTGATGCACTGTATGGGAAGTTTCATTGTGACGTCATTAAAAATTTCACAAGCGACAAAAATCTATTTAACTACATGATAATGCGTAAATGAAAACTTGCATTCATTTATTTTATCAATTATTTAAAAAAGAATGTAAAATCACAACATTTGATAACAACACTGCCGAGTAATTAGAAGCAAATCTTATGTCAGAAATGACGTCACTAGCCTTGACTTGACGCAGTACAAGTGATCCAGAGGAGTGGATCCATTGGTTTAATAATTACCAAAAATGCTTAAATAAATATAAAACCATCGCAAATATTAAATCTAATCAATTAAATTGAAAGTAAATAATTTATTTAAAACACATATGTAGATTATTATTTTATATAGGTGCTATGGAGCTGCACAACGACATAGAATGTAAAGAATATCGCTAACATGATAACTGTATTCTAATTAACCTCAAAAGTGCAAGGGCATAGACTACACTGTTTGAGCTGAAATACGGAATATCAATTGCTTATATCAAGTATATTTTAAAAAGTTCTGTGAGCTGATTATGGTCGGCGTAGCATTATTTTTATTCATGACAGAATTAAAGCGAAGTAGGAATTTTTAGCTATTGTACGCATTTTCAGCAAAATTACGAGTACTTCCAAAGCAGTTCAAACTAGCTCCCAGCACTTTCCGGGTAGCCGATGTAAATCTTTTTTAATGTGTAACAATTTTTCTCTCCAAAAACTTGCGTATGCCCTTGCACTAGCGTCATTTTCTACATTCAGCTTATCAATTCTATTTTTATACCAGTCACGTGACACACAGCTGATACATGCGATATAAATGGTACTCTGTGCGGACCCAAACCTATCCATTATGGATATCTGTATTACCTTTCCTACATGTAAACAGTTACTTTGTTATAAAGATTTTTAAAAATAATACATTTTAAGAAGGTACTTAGATCGCATTTTCCATTTTCTTCCTTAACATAGCTGAGTAGAATCAAATTTGTTCAAATCATGGTCCCCGGGGGTAGGTTGGGGCCACAGTGGAGGATCAAATTTTTACATAGGCATTTATAGCAAAAATCTTTAAAAATCTTCTTCTTAATAACAGCAAAGCCATAATTGGTCATATTTATTTGGAAGCATCCTCAGGTAGTGTAGATTCAAGCGTTTGTTCAAATTATGACTCCCTGGTTAGGGTGGGGCCAAAATGGAAGATCAAAGTTTTAGATGGGAGTATGCAGAATTTTTTTTTTAAATCTTCTTTTCAAGAACAACAAAGTCATGATTGGTCATATTTATATAGAAGCATCTTCAGATAGTGTAGATTCAGATTTGTTCAAACCATGACCCCCGGGGGTAGGGTGAGACTATAATGAAAGCTTAAACTTGTTGGAAAAAAGTCACAGTTAGACAAAGAAATATGTAAGCAACTTTAGTTAGTGTAGATTCAATTTTTTTTTAAATCATACCCCACCCCTTTAGAGATAGGTCAGGACCACTTATGCATTAAAGTTTTTCAATTCTGAACTGATTTTTTTTTGTCCTAGCCACAGTGCTCAGGTAAGCTATGTGGACAATGAACCTCTTGTTTCGGCATGTTATCCCAAGCCCAATGAAGCCAGAGTTTGTCAAGACTTTCTTGCAAACATCCACATTTACCCACTCGATTGGTCTCTGTAAAGTTCACTGTACATCTTCTTCTCATCGAAGATCTGTGGGACTAAGTGGACGATAGGGCTCAAAATGTCAAAGCTGGTCTCGATCAACTATTAGATCGGAATTATGGAAAATACTTATGAAAAAATAATATTATTTGACCTCGAAGTTCAACCTGCCTTTCTTTTTTCCTTTCAATATAATTTTTCTAGTAATCTTGTATGTGGCACTTTCTTTTTACTATTTTCTTTTCAGAATTGATATTTTCTTGTATGAAGCAAAAGAATCATCATAAGTATTAGGGGCTAGATTGTTTTCCCTCTAACATTAATGTAGGAAACCTTATTTTTGACACGGGGTGATATAAAGAAAAAATAAAATAGATAGAAATAGTAATCATATTTTGCATTTTTTTTAATTTCGAATCAACGGCATGAAATTAAATAATACATGCTTCTTGTAATTCGAGGTCCACACCTAAGCCTACGAAGAAATTCTGCAAAAATGAAAAGTTCATCAATATAATACAAAGATCAATAGCGTATAGCGAATATTAACTCCGCGAGTTAATTTCTTGCTGTACTGTATTGAATGTTGCAATTTTTCATTTGATTTGAAAAAAGAAAAATTCACTGAATGTAAATATATATATATATATATATATATATATATATATATATATATATATATATATACACTCAAAGAAAAAAAATATCCAAAAAAAAGAAGAGAAAACAATTAGATTGCCACTTACTAGTTGCAGATCTGGCAATTCGGATGGGAGCCACTACAAGCAGAGCAAAAATGTCGTCATTACAGATAAATACAAATATACAACTGTGAAACAATGCAAGTCAATCATCAGTCCAAATTTATATATAAAAAAAATCACATTATTTTTACCGCACACCAAGTTTAATTCGTCTTTGAAAAATACCCGTAAGTTTTCCACTACATAAAAAGTATGCAAACCTTACAGTCTTTTATTTACACGCCAATGTCTCAGACAGAACTTTAAAAACGTTTATTTGATAAATCATATGTATACATGTGTCAGATGATACTTTCTGGAGTAATTTTATTTCCTTGAAGAAACTAAAATAATCAATATTGATGAAATATATGAGTATATTTTGTAAAACAAAAAATAAATACTCAATATCATACACTTTACAGACCTATAACTCTTCTTATTACATTGCTTGGACTTTCATTAATTTTCATTAATTAAACATGTCTCCTCTGACCTTTGTGAGCAGCACTGTAGTCAGCTGTACCTTCAGCGTAGGCTGAAAATACAAATGATATTCATGCAATATCCAAAAATATATTATCTAAAAAATATTCAATGATATTCCTGAAATTTTGCACTTATTTTTGTTTTATTATTTTTTCATCATTAACCATACTTTGTTGCGCAAACAACGAATTTGCCATTGTTCTAAAATCATATACTAATTTTTCTGATAAATTCATCAGGGTTGAATGAAATCTTCGTAAACAATGTGTAATATTTAAAAAAAAATTGTTGATATACATATGCGTCTATTTATTACATGTTTTAATTTAATAAAAATGCTATAAAAAAAAAACAAAAACAAACGCTTATATATCACAAAGTTTTACTAACATCTGATTAGATTAATTCATGAACATTTATTAGTGTAAAACATTAGCATAGCACTGGAGCAATTATTTTGACTATATTTAGTCTTTATATTGTGTTAACTCTTAGATTGATGAAATCCTGTGTTTCTTTTCATCCTATGTAAATGACATCACTGAAACCATAAAAAAATCTTCAAAAAGAGAAAACGCATGATTATCACATATTATATTTTTATGGAATAAAAGAGACCCGATGACACGAATAAGGAAATGAGAACTCACCTGATCCCAAAATATCTGTAAAGTGTAAAAATATAACAATCAGGTGAATAATGCTCAAAAAAGAAAATTATATCAATAAAAAATACGCATACATAAATTTCTGTAATCTTTACTTTTGATTAGTAAGGTTTACTTTATCGATAAATATTTAATATTTTGTAATAAAGAAAAGTCTAAGGACCGATTTCTTACACAGTACAGTGATGGTGAGCATTGTTTTAAAAGTTAATGTTAAAAGCAATATTAATGATTGCTGCAATAGTGAAAATATGATTCAAACTAATATCAGCAAATACCATCTATCATTAAGTCGATTGCTTCTGGCATTTTTCATATTTATTTTAGGTCGCTATTTATACAGCTGTCTAAGGATATTTAGTTTGCCCGTTCATGACAAGGAGCACGCAGTGGGTGTGACCGGTTGACAGGGGACGCTTACTCCTTCATATCACCTGATCCCACCTCTGATTTTTTTTATAGCTGCGTGTTTACTCTGTCCCCGATTTTTATTGTTTCAATATACTTTTAAGCTCAAATACTGTTCGTGATCTCAATATTTTATTGCAAATGCAGTACTAAAATTAATAGCAAAGTGTATTTACTTAAAATGTTTCCTCAAAATTTAATAATTTTAGTTTCATTTCTAAATGCGTCAATGCCTGGGTTTTTTTCAATGACATAATCAGTAAAAGAAAATGTTATCTTCAGAGCTAAAAAATAAAATAACTTTCAGAATAATAAAGCGAGAAGCACAAGTGCCTTCATTTTGTTCCAATGAAATAGCTAATCACCGTGGAGGGATTTCTATTGAATAAACCTGCTGATGACCTAACTAAGGGAAAAAGGACGAGCGATTTGTTAACAAAATTTGAAAATAAATAATACTGCTAATTCAATTTCTTCACTATTTATCAAACTTTTTTTTTAAATGTTATCTATCCTTTGTCGAATATTACTTAACATGCGCTGTCCATTTTATAACAAGGAATTTGTAAATCCAACATGAAATATCAAAAATTGTACATGCATCGATCAATCACATGAACGATATTAATCAAAACATGCATTTTTGTTCGTTTCTAAATCGCATTGCATCTAATTTGTCTTCTTGCATCAATATTTTAACAGAAAGCTAATTGTTATAATTCTAATAAAAAAGAAATGTTTCCAGTGAATAATTCTCTATTCTTTAAATATAAAACTTACTGATGATATTTTATCACAGATAACTTCATTCATTCTGATTTCTTAAATGTTTCTTTTCAATATCGATTACTCATGTAATATTATTGTTAAATTATACTTTTATGTATTTTTTATCATATTATTAAATCCATACATGAACTACAGGGAATGTTTATCATTCCCGATTTACAAGTTACAAAGTAAAATGCCTTTAAGATACACAAGATAACCAAATAAATAGATATTATATTTAACTCAAAACCCGCGAAAAGCGAAAAACGATGACTAATAAAAAAAAAAGAAAAAAAAAAAGATTTGTTTTACATGAAAGGATACCTGTAGGAACAGATAGGATACAGGTCTAAAATATTAGACTAGATGGCATCTACAGATTATCAAGAATTACTTCCTGTTCTAGCAGATAAAGTTTTGCAATATGAACCCATAGAGAATGAAAAATTGTGGGAATTTAGTTCAAGAAAAAAGTCGGTATATTTTGTAAATCACCGGAGGATTTTTTAAAATCATTTCCTTAAATAATAAAAAGGCATTAGAGATTTGTGTTTAATTTGACTGTTGTTAAAATTACAAGCACATGATGTTGACAGGATAATTGGAATAAATGATTGATCTTATCCATAATTGAATTGTTAACTTACCAGCTCCGAGGAGGCCTAAAATAGAAACAATATAACTGTCATTTCATTAGAACAAGATCCGAAAGATATAACAAATATATTTAGTTCTTAGTAATGAGTAAATTAATTCTAATTAATTTGTATATTTGAAATTTGAGCTAAAGCAATTTCCAAAGATACATTATAAAAAAAAAAAATAAAAATAAAAAAAAAATAAAAATAAAAAAAAATAAAATAAAAAGTTATCCTTAACGTTACCATGAATTTGCATTCCAAATAACGAAACCCATATATTTCACAAACGACTCATTGTTGAACAGTTAAAACAATTATAATTTAATTTTGAGAAAGATATTTACCTATGCATAATATAATACAACTATTGTCTTAATAAGCAAAATCATAAGTCAGTTTTGGAAATATACTCATTATTTAATATAATTACTTATTTGTTTTGTTTTCTTTAATTTCTTTTATGTAAATATCTATAAAATAAAATAAAAAAAAAACAACTTACTGAATAACAAAGCGAGAATTACAAATGCCTTCATATTGGTGTCCGTAACAGAGGTTATGTCTGTTGAGACGATTGTATTTTATTATATACACCTGCTGGCGATGTTATTGATGGAGGAGGCTGTTTTTTTTTCTTTGTAAACAGAAAATAGATGGTCAACATTTAATCAAATCCGCTCTATTAAGCAATATATTTTTAATGTTAAACGTTGAAAAAAAAAATTAACATATGCGAAGAATTTAATAAGCTTTACCTGCTGCCGAAGTAATTTTGATAATAGATATGTGTATATAGAAATAGACGGGAAACAGAAAAAAAAACTCAATTCAGAGAAAGTACAACTGTACATATAAATAGAAAGGAATTGATAAAACGGTGGATATTCCGAAATTTTATTGAATTCCCAACTCGTCAATCATCATAAATAACATCGACAGCGTAAAAATTGATGGAAATGTCCTTATATAAATACAAGTTGAATCGGAATTTGAAATCATAAAACATCTATTTTAATTTATATAGTGCACTTTATAAACAGGTTGAATTGCTGATTATTTTTGCTGAATTTACTGACAAAGACACACAACGACTCCCCTCCACTACCCCTCCTCAAAAAACATAATTCTGTGTGAATGGTGAGCTAACGTTGAAAGAACACAACGGAAACGTTAACGTAAAACAATGCACAATCACTCAATCATGAATCATATATTAATGTAGGCAACATTTAGCAGTCAACATCATATCATAATTTGAGAAAAATAAATTTATATATTGACATAGATCCTAATGCTGTGCTAATATTCAACTGTGATGGGACTACAAGTATGGCGCTGAATTTTTAACAATCTAGAGCTCAGGCGGGTGTGACCGCTCAACAGGGGATGTTTACTCCTAGGCACTTGATCCCTCTTCTGAAATTTCCAGGGATCTATGTTTATGCCCTCCTCACGGATTTAAATTATTTATAGAATTATTTACATTGATCACTGTTCGTTTTCTTCGCCATTTTCATTCATGATAATTATATTGTTATCCAAAAGATCATAAAAATTTCAAAATTAAACATGTTTACATAAGTAAAATCAATATTGTTACCGCGTTCATTTTAATTTTTCAATCGGAATTTCACAATAAGATTCCTTTAAAGTGATGGAAAATTGTATAGATTTATAAAAGTGAATGAAGAAATATGAATGCTGTACATTATGCAAATTTACGATTTCTTAATATTTTAGAAATTGGTTGATTTCATTATTTCAAACCAAAATAACTCCAAAAGTAACTGAGGGACCTTGTCACGGCATGTGTTAGCACGATAAAGATCCCTCACTGCTCAATAACACTGAGTGCAAAGTTAAGGTCTTAATTTGAAGCCCTTCACCAGTATATGGTGACGTCTCTATACGAGTGAAAAATTTTGGAATGGGACGTAAAATAATATACAATCAGTCAATCAATATGAAATTTGAAGGAAAACAAACATGATCGTGCCTTTAATCTTTACTCAATGCAGTTCGAATACACGAAAATATACATGTATGCATTTTTGATATTTAAAGTAATAATGCTATACAGCAAGTGCACTACGAATAGCATTAAACACAACAACAACCACTCCATACTCCAGAACCTGTTAGTGAAGATACGGTAAAATACTACGTGACAATCAATTACACAATAAATTGCGTTATTTGTTTCTTAATTCGGAAATGATTTGTTGCTGACATTGCAGAAAAAAAGTATATGTGATCTACTTAAAAGGAGTACTACCTCTTGACTAAGATGTTTTTACAGATAGCTTTAAAGAACACTTCTTTCTAGCATGGCTAAGCTAATTAATGGATTGATTTAGGAAATTTGGTTCATAGGGAAAAAAGAGAACATTTTCAGCAGAGAGAAAAGCTTAGTATATCTTAAATTTGAATGATTAGAATATGTTAATGTTACACAAAAATATACATTTTTATCGACAAATAGAGAACAAACAGAAAAAAAATATTTATCTCTGAAATATTTTTGCATTTAAGCAACAAGACTGCATTATCTTTTTCTTATATATATTAAGGGACTTCAAACATATATGAACGAAGAATGAGAAAATTAGAACTTGAAATGTCATTCCAGAAGTATACATACCTGCCGCGGATCTAGCAATTCGAATTGGAGCCACTGTAAGGCAAATCAATAAAAAAAAATAAATGAAGTAAAAATAAATATTACGATACATTCAAATAATCATGTATTGCTCTTTTCTCAAACCGAAAACGTATTTACGTCGTTTAGATATTCTTCATTTTGTCGTTGGCAAACAGAGACGAATGACTGTCAATCACTCTGTCTGTCCGTCTGTTCATCCGTTTCTTTCTTCTCTCTCTCCCTGTGTGTGCTTGTTTGTGTGTGTGGGTGGTTGTCCCTCGCTGCAAAACCTTATATTTAAATAACTGTTAGAGTAGAGATCTCATTTTTTGCTCATGTAGCAATAATTTTCTTTTGTTTTTGTTTTGTTTTGTTTTGTTTTTTTGTCCTTGTCTTTTGTTAATTATCAGGGTTAACCAAATTCGTGAATACTGAATCCATTTTTATCTATCGATGTAAATCACTTTTTATTGGCAAGAACTTTATTTTTTGTGTGATTACGCAAGGCCTTATGCTTGCAAAATTTCATTTTAAAATATATTTTTATTATTTATTAATATTCAAATATTACAACGATATATTTTTGAAATTACGGTCTATTGTTAACAAGGCTATTGAATCTGTTAACTCCTATTCGTCTAACAAACTTCAATCTTCACACTGTATTCAGTTTGTATTTACCATTTTTAAGTTGTTTTTTTTTTCCTTTATTGAGTAACTCAATTAACTCAATTTTGCATTGAAATAAATCGGCTTACACATTGGACGATGACGTCATGCAATATTTGCACAAGGAGCCTGTTATTGGGGATAAAGGTTTCGTATTGAAATGCCTAAGACTTTTCCATTTTGAAATCTATTATCAAAAGTTCCTAAAAATAGGTAATCCCTCTACTTCCTGAGAAATTGTTCGTTCCACTTACCATCACGCGCTCCATCATGGCCACGTGCTTCAACTTGGGCTGTAATACAGCAGAGGTAATCATGAACTATTTATACAAACTTATTGTTTATTTTTTGTAATACGTTTACATCTTATTTTTCAATCTCCCACCTTATTTTTCATTGATTTACATAAAAAAAATCTTGATTTTTTTCCTATTAAAATTTAAGGTTCATTTTTATCTTACACATTCCCGAAGCGAAAAAATTATAAAATTTTTAATGGTTCGCAGACTAAAAGCCGATTCTCTAAGAATATTAATTGGAAACTCTAAGTCGTCTTTTTTCATAAGATAATATATGAAAATTATTATTAATTAGAAATGAATTAATTTTTACAAAACGTTGGAAATTCTCGTATAGCAAATCTTTGTTATCATTGGTTTGAAACATTTAGGACGATCCTGAATAACATCTTCACATTTCTTTGTACTTACATTCAGAACATGATTTTGTTAATCTTATCAAATTGGATACATATACATATATACATTATTCAGAAAAGTTAGGTGTCTACAAGAGTATTTAGTCAGTAATCATTCTGATTTGAAAGGGATTTGATAGAGATGTTATCATTTAACAGTTGATATCAGGGTGTGTTTAGTTCTCCTCGGCACCTGATCCAACATCTGGGATTTTTAGGGGTCCGTGTTTATGCCCTGTTTACAGATTTGTATTGTTTGAAGACTATGGGATCGATCGTTTGTTATTTTTACCCCTTTTTCATTTATGTGTCTATGCAGGCTATATATAGTACCAGATCAAATGGGATGTCAGGTATCACATGTGTAAATGATGGTATTATTTCAAAAGATGGAGTTTAAGTTTAAAAAGTACGTAAACTATACCTGGGGTGTACTGTAGAAATGTGTATTCCTAAAAGTCAGTGACAGATTGGGGGAGGGGAGGGGTGTGTAACACTTCTTTTTTCTGAAAAAAAGAAAAAAGAGGAAAAAAATTTTTTTTTAGATCTGCCGAAATATTTAGTTGTATATTTAAGGTATTTTGTACCTTTCCCGCATACCACATGTAGTTACAGTGTAGTTATCGGATATTTTCATATCAGGAAATATACTTTTAACTTGTCCACCATAAGGAGTTGGAAATAAAATTCTTACATGTAAATAGAAACAAATCGTAGTTTTGCTTTAACTTTCAAATAGAGTCTCTCTTTTTTTGTCTTTAACTACAGTTATGTTGACAAACAAGATTTGCTCCGCGTGATCTTTTTTTTGACATTTCAACATTTTTTTTATCAAGAAGACCCAGTCGATAGAGCGCTCGCTCCGTGATCGGAAGGTCATGTGTTCGAATCACGGCCGCAACTGACCTGAGTCGATAAAAAAGGTAGCAACTGTTCCTTTGCCAAGCGCGCGGCACTTTGAAGTGAAAGTTGCGGATGAGGCCTTAAAAACCGAGGCCCTGTGTCAAGGTAGGT